TTTCGATATACTTAATTCTAAAATTTGAAATTAAGTTAATATGTAAGTTGGAAATAATCTGGAGCTTAAAGTTTATATGTTTTTATTATAGTTTTTATTATAAAATAATACTCATATATTAATAGGTGTGACATATTCCCTGACTGAGATACTTATTTGTGCAAGCGATACAAGAAATTAGCCAATCGGAGAACGTAAAATGTGATGATCCCGGATCAGCCCAACACGTGAGCAAAGCGAAAAAACAAAACTAGTGTTTAATAAAAAATAACGGGAATGAAATTTTACATATAAAAAACACACATTATCACTAAAGCTCACAACCCTAATACTAACGCTAACCCTAACGTCCTAATCCTAAACTTAGTTTATTTACAAATGCGATTTCCTTTTTTGGGTTTTGTATCACTTGCAAAAATAAGTAAAATTTTATAATAGCCAGATTTTTTTAACGTTGGCCAAGGTTTTACACGAATAGATTTATTTATATACCAAGTGTTTCAAAAATCATTATACACGTCACTGTTTTTTAAATGGCCTTATCTGTTATATACAGATGATTATTTAAGCAAATATATTTTTGCATCAAGATCTCTGTTATATATCGATATAAGTCCGGTAAAAGTTTTAGGTGATCTACTTAAAATAACAGGGACGTGTATAATGACTTTGAAATACCTGGTATAATATAGCGATAGATAATTATCTATTTCTTTATACGCAGTTAATAATTTTGGAGGATGAGTACGCTGTCTAGATTTTTAAAATGAAAATAAATTATTGTTGATGACTTAACAAACTAATAAAAAATTTAATCTATCTTATCCTTATATTTTGCCTTAAAACAAGTACAGGTTAAATCATGTTGATAGTGATATTAATGAGAAATCATATTAAAGTTGATATATATGAGGGAATTTTGATATATAAAAATTGGTTTTGTGGCTTAGGTTGATATTAACGAGGGTCACCTGTAATAGTTAGATTTAGGTACGCTGCTCAAGTGATGACAATGAACGAAAAATTTTTTGGTATATCTATGGTTTACCATCACAAGATTGAAATTGGCGTTAATGGCGAAAATGGACTTGGAAGACGAAATAAGAAATGTGGTTAGAACGATGGAATCATTAACGTTAAAAATGTTTAATATGATCTGTTCTAATAAAGAAAAAAGAAATTTATATTTAAATTATCTAACTTTTATTGAAATTTTTCAATTTGATATCCAAATATTTTCCCAAAAATTATAGGGACACGTCAAAGCTGGTCACGAATCCCTTTGCCTCAATCTCCTTTCTCTTTTTGCCTGTTGTAACCAATACCTATATAACATAGGTCATGATTTGTATAGTAATAAACAATTATATACTGGTTATAACGAGTATAACATAATAGTTATCTTATTATAAAACTAAAATGTATATAATGGGCGACTTTCGCTCTACCACGTATAATAATCTCATTCATACACTTATCCAAGCATCAAAATATTAAAAATGTAGCTTACGTTATAATAACGGGCTTTTTTAGTAATAACAAATTACTATTGACATGCACAGATTATCGTAAGCTACATTTTTTTGTAGGCTGCTTAGTATCCCACTACAATATTACATACACTACACGCACGTGATTCCTTGTCCTTTGACTCCGGTCTCTGAGAAATAATTTTTTCCGAATAGGTACGTACCTTAATATGAAATATTTAATTGCCAGCAATCAAGTTTCAACAGGTTATTTCAACATGCGAGGTTAGGTCTGAGTCTCAACTTTCTTTCTTAAAAGGTCAATGTGTTTAAATGTGCATTTATGACAAATTCTAAAAAAGAAAAACTCAAAAATACGTTAAATATATATCTCCTTTAACGTATATATTGTATTACAACGAGTACTTAAAAGGGCTAAATAAGGTTGCATATTAAAATATCTGCAAGGGTGATTATAAATCGATAAACATGAATTAAAAAAACAACAGTTTATATCGACGATTACAATCACCACTGCAGCATACATGATTTAATTTTCCGATTAATTATCAAATCGATAATCTTAATTTCCTAATGTGAATTACTTGCGGACTTCGATATTGCATTAAATATTTATGTAAATACGGCCCAAACACTAAATTTTATATATTAAAGGGTGGAATCGATGAAAAATTATTATCGAACGAAATTTTGAGCATCGAATAAGTTTTTATTCATTTGAGTTTTTACGATCAATCGTATGCACCTTATTTCATAGACATAATTTGCAGGCAAGTTATTTCATAGATAGTTACACCTCATTTCTTTCCCATATAATTTTTTCTTATAACTTACACTAACCTAATCCTAATGGCAAGGACTATAATTTGTGAACGAGCTGTCGATGAAATAAACTTTTTATGAAATGAGCTGTCGGCAAATAAATTGTTGCCAAATTGTCTGCGAACTAATTGCAGAATCGTCTATGAAATGAACTACAAAGTGATTGCTACAGAAATACATGTCAATATGTTATTGCAAATTTAAAACAGAAATTCGCAATTTTAAGTCTTAGTATCAAAGTTGTAAGTGGATATGGAATTTCACTTAAGTGGATTTTGTATCTTATAACAAACTTGATGGGAATTGAAAATTTAAAAGTGAACAAACAAAAAACTTTATATATTTTTGTTATATTTAAAGGTTGCTTAAATATCACCCCTTATTGATATATTATATATATATTCCATGTGACATTTAAGCAAACCTAAACCTAAACCCAGCGTTCAGATTAAAGTCCCCTGTATGATGTATTAGAATGACGCAATTCAAAGCGTGGCTTCGTAAATTTTATCTTGGTAGATTTTAAGTCGTTATACTTATTCGATTAGTACAAGTGACGTAAGATTATTCACATCATAGGTATATCGAGATTTCATTTTTGCACATGCCTCGTTACTTATTTTACTAACCAAATCATTGGACTTGTCTATAAATAAAGGATATTTGACATCAATATTCATTAAATTTAATTGATTGAAGTATCGAGACAAATATGCATGTGTAGATTATATATCCTTTTCTCCTGTTTGAATGAAGATGAATATTCTCGTCATTCGAAAATGGAGATATATAAAGATTTTATAACTATGAAAGTAATCATCATATAAAATTACAATAATTCTTTAAGCGTTTACTACACTTTCCATATTGAACTATAGCGATTAGGCGAAGCCTTTTTGCGTGATGACGAAAATTGAAATTAACCCAAAATTGGAAAAGTTGAGAAGTGAAACCTAGCTAGAAAAACGGAATAGGCCAAGTAGTAACTATTTCACAAGATACAAAATGAAAAGCAGCAGTTTTTTTAAAAAATATTTTGAAGAACCCCTCCCTGAGAAATTAACGCTTTTTTTTATTAAGATATATATTGTTATTTTTATTTTCATTTTAAGATCTAAAAAAAAAATTTGAATATTTGCTAGTTCTGTAGTTCTGAAATGCAGTAGCACATGCCCTAAAAGATTTACTTTTAGTATGGAGGTGCCTATTATCTATAAGGGCCGCCTCGACGTTATTCATAAAGCCCTTTTAAGTTGCAGGAGATGAACTTGGATGATTGATACGAATAGATCAAAAAATGATCTTGACAAAGACGAGATATGGTAATTAAGTTTGTCAGGAATAAATAAGATCTATAATATTTAATTGGATTAACCCTCATCACCCTCCTAGACTCTTTTTATACATAGAATCTACTCGCAAAAATTATTGTATTAATGCCATTACTTCAAATTTAATTCAGAAACTAGAATTTGTTTAATCCAATGATCTCAATTTAATAAAATTATGAACATTTTGAATACCAAAGTTATAAATTGATGATTGTTAATGATATTAAATTCAAGATAAGGGTGGTGAGGCCTCGGATTGTATTAATTGAATTATACAATGTCATCGATATTAAGGTTCACGTGATTGACCCAATGTCTTTGCAATTCATCGCCTTGCAAGCATCATGTTATTATGAGTATGTGACGGGTTTTTCTAATATGTGATTCTATTAGTTTATGCTAAAGCTAGAAAAAAAAACACCTAAAATTGCGTACATAAGGCTGCTTGTTTTCCTATTCGATTAAATTACTAATACTCATGATATCTTTTTTATGTGGTAAAATCCAAGTTTCTTCTGCTTTTTCCTCATTAGAATCCTGAATGTTATTTGTTGCTACGCCTATATCTTTTGTTGAATCAACACCATCAAAAGAGCCTACGTCGCGAGAATAGCTTGAAGAATATGATGCATTTGCTGAATATATGTCAGCATGGCCATGTGATAATGTCGTGGCAGGAACTGTACTTGGAGAGGATTTGTATGGTATATTAACTGGAAATGGTGCTGAAACATTGTTCGGCATAGGTCTATAGCCAGTCGTGTACATGTTGGAACCACCAGCAAATCTATAATTTATTGTGGTCGCAGGTTGTATGTTTGCTGAAGGTAGAATGTAATTAGATGTATGTATGTATGATAATAATTGTGAATTCGGTGCTGGAGTGGTGCCGACCGCCGAAGGAGTTGGTAAAATTTGACCCATATCTAATTAAGAATGATAATAATACATATTTGTAAAATATTATTAATTATCTGACAAAGCCTTTTTTCAAAAATTTATATATAATTTACCTTTTCTTCTTCTCTTTGTTGCTCTTTCAGTACCATCTTTTTTCGTTGATTTTTTTGTTGGTTTCATATTATTTCCGGTATTTTTACCTTCACATTCAATACCATTATTATTAGATTTTTTCGTATTCTTAACAGGCCTCTTTCGTTCTTTAACTGGTAAAGCCGAAATTTCTTGATTTTCTTGTTTTTGCCTAGGACGCTTAACACTAGTCAGATCAATATTCATTTCCTGTACCGTTTGATCTGATCGTAGAGTGTTCTCAAATGGTTGAATTGGGGGAATTATAACATCATTGGAATCAATTTTAACAACATCGATAGTCTCATCATGTTCATTATTACTCGCAGGCGTGCTCGATTGTATCACCTGACGCTGTAAACACCTCGCGCAAATATAATCAATTTGTGAAAAATCGCTCGTTTTACGAAATCGTTCGTCAGTCTTTAAAAGGCAGTCAAGATGCTGCCATACTGCGCATCGGTCACATGCAATCATATTACTACCATCATTCTGTAAAACAAGCAACAATTAAAAAATCTTATCGTTTATGGTAATTGTTATAAATACTCAAATACCTACAATGTTTGTACCAGAAACGCCACATAAGCAATCGAAATACCAATCTTCTGGATTTTGATTTTTAACCTGAAATGTTGTGTCTGGTGGCGTTAAATGATCTTGTATATCACTAACTCGTTTAATTTTTATGGCATGCTGTTGCTCAATTGTAATGTCTTGTTCTTTTTTTAATTTATCATCCCTAGCTAGCAACCGTTGCTCTCTTTCTTTTGAACGGCGCTCACGTGCTTGACTTCTTGCTTCCCTATCCTATTTATACAATATATGTAAATACATTGATAATGAATAAATGAATGAATATAGGACATAATTTGAATTTATGCTTTCGTCTTTGAATAATAAATACCCTCTCAGCTTTAAGCCTTGCAATTTCATCTTGCCTGGCCTTTTCCTCTCGCTCATCCTGATCTTTTTTAAGTTGAGCAGCAAGATCAGCTTCATGTTTTTCGATTTCTCGTTTTTGAATTCTTGAACTACGCTTCCTGTTAGCCAAGGCATCAAGTTTTTTTTGTTCTTTCTCCTTCTCCTACATCAATTAAGACTTCGTTAATTTCAATAGATAAAGATCAAATAGGCACGCATTAAATTAATATTTATTACTTACATGCAAGGCAGCCAAAATCTGTGGTAAAAGGTCTTCAGTCAATAGCTTATAAAATGCTTTTTCTTGCAAATTTCTTGATTTTTCGAAACGCTTTGGAAATTCTTCCCATTCAGCAATTGTAACGCAAACCTATTATTTTAAAAATGTTTATAACATTATAATGTGATATATTAAATATATAAGATCAAATTAATGAATGCTTACGGTCTCCCAGTTCGTGGATTCAGCAATAGTTTCATTCACTTCAGAAGGAACATGTTTCGCGCGACTACGTCGAGTATTCTTAACTTTACTTTTTTGTTTTTTGGACACATCCTTTTTTGGTGATTCTTTGCAAAGCCGATTATCTACAACAATAAAATAAGTTTGTATGCGTTCACAAACACGTAAGATCTTGATAAGAAACCAAAACTTACCATCAAAAAGCCAGTATGTATTGCCCTTGGAGTCATATCCAACCGGAGAGACTCGCTATTGTAGAAAAATTAATTATAATTAAAACATTGTAAATAAAATTCAAGAGGATTTGTATTAATAATATTTGATTTTTAATACCCATTCTTGTGGATTGTCTTGGTTTGACAATAGGTTCCTAAATCTATCAGGATTCCGCATCTGCCAATGGCAAAGATCATGTAAAATCAAGACCTTTGCAAATAAATGTTAAATAATGTTAGCATTAGTGAGAAATAACATAAGTCACACGAGGCCATAACATACCTTCTGTTTTACAGACATATCTTCAAATTTTATGGAGCATGTTTCATCACCGAATGGGTTCTTTTCGGGCGCATGTTTCTGATATTGTTGAAGGAGATGTTGTTCCCAGTTGTCCAGACTAATTAGCATTATTCAGCAAAAAGTAAAATAAAACGAAAAGAAAAATTTAAAAGATGAATAACAATAAAGGTTTAAGTCAATTGAGTAGATATTTACGATATATTTTTATTGAATGACAGAGTCCGTAGCATCTTTATGATTAAGTCCCCAATCTGGATATTATCATCGGTGGCTAAACTCCGCTCCAACTCCTAAAAGATAATACCATAATATTAATTACTAATTCACAATGATCAGTAACAAGAAGGAATTTAAAATGAAGCTTACGTCAGTGTCAAATGAATCCAATCCAAATGCATCATAATATGTATGCATGAATTGGGATGCATTTGCAAACTCCCATAAACTGCGTATGTGGAGTATTGCTTGTTGATAGTCCGGGTCGTGGTCGGAATATGTGGTTGACGACATTGGGACTAGAAATTTAAAATCTGATGAGAAAAGACGACGCGTAAACCTTGAATCGTTCTTCGTTTTAAATAATATCTTTGACATACCTATATATAGTGTGACTTGTCAGTGAATGATAAAAGTTGGTGATTCTGAAAGAATAAAAATAGATGAATTTTAGTCCAGAATTATTATGTGCACTTAAAAAAAAGTGTGTAAGATTACTACTATAGTCGGAAAGAAATCTATATAAGTGTGTGTATAAAACACATAATTTTCTATAAGTATCACTGGAAGAAAACTTTCACCATTTATGAAAAAAAAATTGAATTTTTTGTAACTTTTAATGGTATTTTTATAAGTAAAGAAATGGTGCACAGTAATTAAAGTCATTAATGTATCATGAAAAATAAGTTGGTAATCTGACAAATATTCAAGTAAGGATTTCGGTGTACTGAAGGCCCCTATTAGACCTTAATTTCTTTACTAAGAGATATTCGCAAAAAAAACAGAATTTTGAGCAGGAAGTGTTGTTTAACTTTTTAAATAAAAAACGGAGAAAGAAAGTATGATTTTCTTTCATTTTAATTAAAGGGCTCTCGAAATAAAAATTTATACGGTATATGATAAAAAAATAAAAGTGCACTATTTCAGCATTTATGTTGATTGATTACCTTACTAACACGGTAAATCTATAGGTGACTTCGAGATAGTTGGCGAAGTCGTTAATTATTAAAAGGATGTTGACTTGTTTGTAATGTAATGACGTATTTATATAAATGAACTTTATTGGACGTCGATCTTGTACAAATCCGTTGCTTTAAAGGAATCTCAATCAAAAATCGGTGTTACATTGCAATCACTGATCAGCGTGTTGATTTATCTTAAGAAAAATTATAAAAAGGCTACCAGTTTTAATTTAACTTTGTGCATCTTAAACAAATGGCTGGGATATTTGAAAAACCTAACAGAGTCATAGAGAATCAAAAGTACTTCCAAGTACGTTAATTTGTGATTAAAACGAAATAAATGCATTAATACTACGTTTAATATTTTTTGTAGGCTCACGTTAATCAACCTCTATGGCGTCGTGGAAGTGCTGTTAGAGGAGGTTTTGTATCCCTGTACTTTGGTATAGTTGGAGTTGGTTTGTTAGGCTCTACGTATTTGATGTTTGCCAAATTGATTCCGGTATCTTATTATTATTTTTATTTGTAGATTAGCAAATTGATATTATATGAAATTCTCATTAAAATGTTTTTTTTTAGGGCAAAAAATAACAGTGGAGTCTTCTTTTAGAATGAATACTTGATGCAAAACAGGCTAAAGATAAATGTATTCAATGTATTAGACCATTTAAGTCAAAATAAATTCAACATTTCTATAATCAGATCTATTTGAAATAGTTTATTCCCTCGTTCAAAACGCATACTATTATGTATTCAAAAGAAATATCAGTAATATTAGTGCTTTGATCCTATTTTTGACAGGCCATCCGGATTGAATCCACATTAGATTATAATTAAAGCTAGCTTTTGAGCATATCCTTAGTAAAATCTCTGATCTGGATATCTGAATTTATCTGGATTGAAGGATCAATCCGGATTTAGGACCGAAGCATAAGTAATATACAGGTATCAATAACATTCATAATTATGCTAAATATAAATTTGTTGGATTTAGAAATTTTTGAAGCTGAATTTTATGTAAAGTTTGAGCATTATAAGTCTTAAGCATGAATATTTATTTTCTTCCACAAAAATTCATTCAAAAAATTTTTGATTTTTTAATGCCTTTAGGGAAGCGCCGTTTGATGCGTAATTTTAAGAGGGAGGGAAGTGGTTAACAGTCTATCACGTCCATATGTAATTCGATCACCTAGGGAAGAGAGGATCTGTCTTGGGATGTTAAATTGCGAATCCAGTCCGGTCCGATCCTAGGATCTAAAAAGACAGTCCTGGACTCGGTCCTTATGAAAATACAATACATTTTATAGGACTTAGATCCTGTATCAGATCCTGAATTGAAACTATCGAATAAGTCCATCCAATCAAATTAATTTTGTATTGTTATAATAGTTCAATTTGTCCTATAAAATGTATTGTGTTTTCATGTGATTCAAGAACCGAGTCCTTGCAAGGACCGGTTAGGATTCAGTCCCAAAAGACCGATTAACATCCCTAGATCTGTCCTTCTAATAAATAGAAATTACGTAATAACGGCATTTCCCTTATATGCATTGTTTATAGGCTTCTTTAGTAGTGAATTTCTAAATGAATAATTGTATTATACGTACTGTATTATACTATACTAAATGCAGGTACAGGTCACTTTTTGTTATGTCGAGATCATCAGGCTGAAAAAGAAAATATGTTACCGTAAATCACCTGATAATTGTGTTTATTCTATTTTTTATTGGTTTTTTCCTATTTGAATACCCCAGGTCTTTTACAATTTACCAAACTTTATAAACCCGGTATGATACATAGCGGATCTACTTTTCCATGGGGTCTTGTATATGGTTATTTATGATACTATTATATTAAGTTGAGGTTAATATTTGTAATTTAAAGCTTTTTATTATTCGGAACATAACAGAGAACCTTATAGAAAATAATAAACCAGATTTTGTGCATAATGTTTTACATCTATTTTTAGATTATATGATTATTAATTTATCTAATTCGATTTTTTTTATTTTGTTATACAGTATTATAATCTTTACTATATTGATTTTTATTTTGTATTTGTATATATTACTGCATAATATATTTTATAATAGTATTGGTTAATTAACAAATTTTTTTATTATTTTTTTTAACCATTTCGGCAGTCTTGCCAAATACTTTATTAGGCTATCATAATTTTTTACAATATAAATTTATACGACTTTTACAAAAGGCTAACCCTTTTAATACCTAAATTACAAGTACTGGCTCACTCGGTTATCTCTTGAACATCTATGCGTGACCTGCTATAAGCAAGATTTACCTCCAAAATACCCCTTCCTGAAATAAAAGAAATATGATATCACTGGATGGATTCTACTGGCCTGTCAAGACTACCTTTCCTTCTTTCAAACTTCTTCTACCTAAGCTTGACAAAATAATTAAAAACCCTTATTTATATATAAAAGTAAAAAAATAAAGCCATATTTATGAAAGACTTAAACATTTTAGAAAAAAAAACGCCTCACGGCAATAAAAAAAAACACAAACAAGAAAACAAATTTTAAAATAATCTAACATAAATGAACAAAGATAAAAAAAGTGAAAAAAAAAAAGGTAGCCTTGATACACTATTATAGCCCGTGCCATGCATAAAGATAAAATTATATACTAATTGCAACTAAAAGTATATCTCAATTGTAAAACTTTTGATTTTATTGATTATTCCGGGCACTGACTCAACTCAGGTATCTCTTAAACAGAGGTGTTGATCTCTTCTCTATACTGTAGCAACATATTGATCATCAAAACAAACACATGGTTGCAATCCACTAAGTCTATCCGAATTCGGTAAGTATAAACAATGCCAATCTTTTGAAGGGGTAAGCCAAATTTCTACTTTTTTGGAAAATTTTGAAAGACCAATGAGTGGGCGAGTAAAGATAGAAAGGAAACCACTTGGTTAAGTAAAAGAGTATGGCTTGAAGAAAAATAGACTTCTGTTGTTTTCTCTGTGTTCTTCTTACTAAAGTAACAGCCTAAATAGCTTCGTCGACAGCGAAGGCTTTTACCCCATCTCCAAGATTTTGTATACAAGGGAACACACCTCCTGCCAGTTATCTTGTATACAAACGCTCCTGGTTTGCATGCTGAATGCACATTCCTTATGATAGAGGAGTCCTAGTAAAAGAGAACTGTTGACCTCTAGGCAAACCGCTATGTTAGGCCATGACTCTTCAACAGAAATTTATTTTTTCTTTGGTAGGAAATTTTGGTCCAAGTGATTGTCAGAAAGAGTTGGCATGCAAATTTTTTTATTATATTATATTACAGTATTAGATAAATATTAGTAATTTTGTTAAATATATATATATATATATATATTGGTTTTAAAAGATGAGGCTTTGCTTATATTTTATTTAATACTTTATATAAATAATTACATAGAATATATTATATAAAAACTTAATCCATATACAAATAAATAAATATAAATTACATACAAAAATAAAACTTAGACTAATTTATTTGCAATCTAAACCTACTAGAGTAGTCAAAACTTGTCTAGATTTGAATAGTTAAAATATAATTAGTAGGAGTACTATATTAAATCAAATTTATAGTTAGCAAGTTCAAAAAGTAGACAAGTATTTAAATTAGAGTATAGTTGATCTAGTATAGACAATTATAAATAAATAAATAAATATTTGTATTTAGTGTGAAGACAAGAAAGAGATTGTTAAAAAAGTTAATTAAGAGAAGAATTAGAAAAATTTAATATACTTTTTTTAGATAAAAAATTAATACAATATATTTTTTATATTTGATTGTAAAGTTAATAAAAAAAATTTGATCTGCGGGTCGATAGCATAGCGGTTATGCTCCCAGGTTGCAAATCGGATAGTTGCCGGTTCAATTCTTCCCAGCGGCGAAATAATAAAAACCCAAATATGGAAGTGAAACACCGCGGGGTACAGGGAACTCGGGACATCTATGGATGGACGTATTCGAGGAATAGTTATTCCGAGAAGTTGTGGTTGTGAAGCGAGGTGTGTTAGAACCCCGATTTGGAATAACCGAAGTCATGAGACGTACTGTGAGGCCCAAGTCTGAGAAGATACTACAAGAACTCGTGGCACTACTGGATTGGCTGGTGAAATTCCAGTCTAATATTAAGGTGTTTCAACCTCTCCGGAGTGTCATACAGGCGGTCAAATCTAGGCCTCAATAAGGGAACCGGAAAAATAGCAGGCAATGGATCTCAGGTAGATACACATGATTCCCGTATAGGAATTATGGAGGTTCTGTAACACTAGTAGCATAGGGTCAACTATAAAGATAGCTGAACCAAGTCATGTCTAGACTTGCCGAAGTAATAAAAAAAAATAAAAATAAAAATAAAAATAATTTAAATAATAAACTAAAAGACAATTAAGT